TAAGTGTATATACATGGAATTCCTTACGAGAGGATTTTGGGTGCTTCTGAATCAAGGAAATTTTCAAATGAGGAAAGAATGACAGAAACTTTACACATAGGTGTATTGGTGTTCGGTATTACTCAGTTTTACTGATACCATTTTGTGAAGGTGCTAGAATCAATGAAATTTAACATATGTTGAAAGCATACATGTTAAAAGCAAATAATCACTTTCAAAATTCTCGTAACTTCTCATTTCATAGGAGAAGTCTGTTCTTTTAGAAACACTAAACTTTAGGTCATGGGAACAGACTGAACATGTAATCTTAAGGTAAGTGCCTTGCAACCACTTATGAACTGTTAAGAGTGACGCGGCCTTACCAGGTGAATGCGACCCGAGTCCCTTCTGGGAGCACCTGCCGGGATGGCCATTGTCTGTCCAGAGATGACTCCAGCTTAAGCATGGCTGACATATCCAGTTTATCAAACCGCTGCATCTCCCCTGGTGTTTTCTAAAAAACCATGTAAGTAGGTTTTCATTTCCATCTTATGTATACAACATTTAAATTCCATCCAGAAAAACATTAGGAGGTACTCTGGACTATAACATTTTTTGAATAGTAAATAGAAAAACTGCTTGTTAAAACATATTATTTTTCATTAAATTTGGGATAATATTAAAGACTCATATGAACAGTCTCATTTTCATACTTATCACCATGATAGCTGTCCCCCAAAGCAGGGCCGATTTCTTATGAAAAGGCTTTTTGTAGGTTGAGACCTAGATAAATGGACATAATTCGGCAGCTTCATCATCATGGTTTTTGGCTCTTCTCTGCTGCATTCTGCGAGCTTTCCTGGGCTGTGACTGACACTCACTCTGGCTCCAGGAACCAAGCTGAAATTTCTTAAGGACTCCACCTCTTTGGTTATTCCCAAGGTCAAGCCCTGGATATCCTTTTCATCCCTGATGCTAGAACATAGAAAGTGAGAGACAGATATAAAACACAAACATGGAAAAAAATAAAGCAACCTAAACGAGAAT